TCGTTTTTTTTTTTTCAAAAAAAAAAAGAAGGAAATGTAACCATAACTATGCACGATTTACATCCTTTTACTACTTTCCACTTTACACAAAGAAGAAGAAGAAGAAGAAGAAGAGGCAGAGAAAAAAAAATCACTGAACGATCGAGACACGCACGTTTGCTTCCGTTTAATTTTTTTCTCTTTGCTTTCACTTTTTTTTTTTCTCTTTATTTTTGTTGCTGGTTAAATATAATATAACTATGTGTATGTGTGGTTCATAGAGGTTGAAAATTGTTTCGTTTTTTTTTTTTTTTTCTTTTGTCTGTGTACATTATGCATTATTCTTGAAAAAAAGAAAAATGAGTAAGTTAATCTAGTGTTACTAATATGGTGAGAAATTTAAAAAAAAAAAAAGACTCTTCATACATACTCTAGAATACAGTTGAACCTTCAATAGTCAAGATAAAGACAAAACAGAAATTATAAAAAGAATGTTCCAAGGATATGAGATATGTCAGTGAGATGTATGTATGTCTTTTTTGTTGATTTTGAGAGATTTCATTCTTACTTCTCTTCTTTTCTCTCTCTCTCTCTCTCTCTTCTCTTAATACAAAAGAATATATGCGCACATTTGACAAAACGTATTAATATATTCTTTGAAAAAAAAAAAAAGAAGAAAAATCGATTTGTTAAAATATGAAGAATTGATCGTTTTCTTGTTAGTATATAATACACTATTAGAAGAATTTTTCCCCTTGATTTGAAGGTGTTAGACATTCTTTTCTTTTTTTTTTTTTTTAGGAAATGTTTTCATAGATGACAGTCGATGGTGCGAGACTCTCAGTTGGAACCACTATCCTTTTTTTTGAAGAGAGATAGGAGAATTTATACGAGACAAAATTAATCATCGCTTTCTCTTCGCTTTGTGTATATATATATATAGAGATATGAAGACGCGATCATTTTTGTTCTCATAATTAGATTACGAGAATGACCATTATATATATACCTTGTCTTGAACGTATATACAAATAAAAAAAAAAAAGAAGACGAAAAACGAGAAGAGAGAGAAAGAAGAAAGGAACGTGAAAGACGGTGTATATATATATATGATGAAACATAATTTAGACCAGAACTACATGTATTATATACGTAACATCGTAAACAAACAAAAATATCCCCGGCGACTAACATCTTTCTACACTATTAACATGAGATGTGTTCTATATAATCAAACGTTATTTTCATTCCTCTTATGTGTTGGTGGTCACTGATATTTTATATATTAACTGTGAAAAATAAATGTCAAATAAATAATATATGTATAGATCGATTTAACTGATGGTAAGTCATATTGCTCGATAAATTTCTTACATTTTCAATTTTATTCAATATAAGTTCAAAGTTTGATTAAATTAAATCCAAATGTAAGACTAAATAGGCATATACACTAGTTAAAAACTAGTGTTAGGGCTTCCATGAAAATTGTTATAAGTCGGCTATAAAGAATTATTCAGAGTCATGGAATCTCTCATTTTGTAGAGATATGTCTGGACTACAATCTCATATAAGTAGAAAAATTTCAGCGTTATCTGTAATACAATTACGAGCATTCTAAAATACACTAAATTCAGAAAAAAACCCTGTTCGAATAGTTTTTTCTTTTAATTAGAATGTTCACATTTTTGCTAGAAATAACTTCAAATTTTTTTTTCACAGCCGAATTTTAAAGAGCAAATATTTCTCTACAAAATGAGACGTTCCCCGACTCTGATTAATTCTCTCTAGGCGACTTATAACAATTTTCGTGGGAGCCCTAACACTAGTATTTAACTGACGTATGCCTACATCGTATTCGATACTAAAAATTGAAAAGTGTTAATGAAATGTACATTATAGAATTCGATTTGATGCTAGAGGATGTTTTCTTAACTTGTGCAAGTCATTAATGTGCATTTTGGTATTATACATTCTATTGTATGAAATTTTTTTTCTTATTTTTTTAAGCTTTCAAACCCTGTACACTTCTAAATTGTCGCTAGAATTTGTATATGAAAACATTTTTATTTTTTCTTTAAAAGAAAAAAAAATCAATATTTAAAGAGAGATTTATCATACTGTTTTGAAATTCAGCATATACTTGTCTCTCTTGTCATTTGATAGTTTAGTATACTGTTTGTGCTCTTTATTTTACATCTCTATCCTAATTATAAAAAATATTCTGAAATAAGTTAGCAGATAATTTATTATTATTGTTATTGTTGTTGTTTTTTTAGCAAGTATATATTACAAATTATTTCCTTCCTCTTCAACGATTTGATTCATCGATATAAAACATTTTTCTGTTAATTATCTTTATTAACTATCTAATAACAAAATAGTATGATTTTATTTATTTTGCTTCATATATGTGATACAGTATTATGACAAAACGTGAAACATTTCTTTTTTTAAAAATAAAAGAATTTTAGATTAAAGTTAAACAACGATGTAATAAAAGGTCTGTATAAAAACTTGACAAAACAGTTCGTTGTTCTCAATCTTAAAAGACTTCTAAAAAAAAACAACAACAACACACCATTACTCTTCTAAATGAGCCGTTATTTTTTTATTATTCTAACCGTCAATACAAAAGCCAGAAAAAAAGAAGAAAAAAAAAAAAAACCATACAACTATTCTAATCACATAAAAAAAAACTAACTTTTTCTTTTTCTTTTTTTAATATTATTATTATTATTCGTTTGAAAGAAGAAAACAATCTATTCACTTTCTCTATTTGTTAAATTTTGACAAATACAAATTATTCAGTAAATATTCATTTCGAAACAATTATTAATAAAAACATATTGCACAGAAGAAAAATAAAATCTGCTTTCTTTTCTGTCTCTCTCTTCTGTGTCTACATTTATTAATAATTTCTTCTTTAAACATTGCTATCTGTTTCATCAATTAGCAAGCAACTATAAAGTGTTTTCCTTTTTCTTTCTTATTTATGTCAGGATTATACACATTGATGAACGCGTAAAAACTAAAGAAAAAAAACAAAAAAAAACATGTCATACTAGACAAAAATATATTTTTAAAAAAAATAAAAGAAAAGATATCTTATCACCGGAGTCTTATAGAACAGAAAAACGAATATATTATATCTATGGATGAAAACTGAACGTTGTTTGAAATAAAAAATTTAATGAAAAAGACTATTCTTGGATATTTTTCATGAGAAAAAAAGATCATGTTAACAAACTCAAGCCAGGAGTCAAAGAGTTTGTTATTGTCATCGACAATCATTTCAGTGTTTCTTATTCTCTATGTTATCTCTATGTTATCTCTATGTGTCCATGACCTTTAGATAATTTGTGTCCAATAATTTTATCTTTATCGACTTATTTTTTTTGAGATAAACATCAATAATAATAAAAAAAAATTACGTGTTCTCGCTTCGTTTACCTTCTCGTTTGTATATGGGCAAAGATGTTTTTTTTTTTTTCTTCCTCTTCTTTTTATATACACAAAAGCGAGAATAAAGTGCTTTGATCGTCGACCGATCTTCTTTTTTTGTATGTTAAAAAAAAAAAAAATAATTGTATGAGGGATGTAATTCTTCGTTAAGAAATAAAAAGATGTTTTGAACACGAATTCTAAAATAACATCTACATACACGAATTTTTGAGTATAGACATCATGTAATACATACGTTTTTTATTATATTTTGTCTATAGAGTAAGTATATATATATATATATATATATCATAGAAATATGATGATGATCATTGATACACTTGAAGAATAGTGACTTAGTCTTAATTTAATGACTATACAGAGAAGTCCTCTCTCTCTCTTTCTCTCGTTCTTGTGGTTATTGATTTACCGTTCTTTTTGAACAACATTATAGTGTATAGACATAATATACGTATACAATAAATATAACAGATATTTTCTTTTTTCTTTTTTATTGTTATCGTCATACAATATAAATTACATGTATTTTGTTAATAATGAAGACGAGAAGATAATAAAATATACATATATACACACATTAGATCGACGATAGAGTGAAACAACTGTTTAATAGATAAGAAAAGTTTCCATCTCATATTGAACGAGAGAAGAAAAAAATTATGTAAAAAATTAGATTTGTTATTATTAATTATGCTTATATCATCATACTTATGTTGAATATTAATACGTGTTTTTTCTAATAATAAGCAAAACACTTGATCACTACGTAAGATATAATGATCGTAATATATTAGAAGAATGTTTTATGCATTGAAGAACAACTATTTATTCATTCTTATATCTCATTTGTTTTAGATTGTTAGATAATGAGTTTGTAACAATACAATGACTCAATATAGTTCTCTCAATTTCAAGAAGTTCATATTTTTTACATCCTTTTATTGCCGTTTGTTTTGAATTTATCGATGAAAGCAAATGAGGAGGTGTTTACTTGCAAATTATCCTCCTCTTTTTTTCAAATTGTCGTGAACATGTGTTGATAAGTTGATGGTTACAGCTGATATATATCTAACAATATAAATTTTTTTTTTTTTGTGTGTGTGAAAAAAGCCTTGGACTATCAAAATATACTTGAGTTTTGATTGACAATAGACAATGGAAAAAACTGTATCCGCTTATAGTTTGAGTGTTGAATATGTTTATAAAATGCTTTTTGCTGCGATTTAATCGTCTAATGTATTAATATAAATTGAGCAATAATAAGAACAAGAGTAAGAGAGATAGCCTATGATCATAATCTACATCTGTCGCATAGAATATACACAAAAAGTTGACTGTATGGTACGAACCATAACGACAATAATAATAATAATAATAATAATAATGATAATAATAATAATAATCTAATAAATGAAAACGAATAGAAAAGAGAGGGAGAGAGAGAAAGAGACAGAGAGAAAAAAATTGATTCATTTGAGAAAACATGATTCGTTTTTCTCTCATATGTTTATACAAGAGTAAGATGCGATTACAAAATTAAATAACCGTTTTATTCATATATGTACATAAAGAACAAAGATAAACATAGAAAGAAAAAACTGAAAGACGAAACGAACCGTTATCATTATTATTATTATTATTATTATTCTCAACTATCCCTCTGTATGTATAAAAAGAGATTAGAGCTCGGTAGCACTCCTAACATGTTATATCAAATTCACTCCTATGATAAAGAGAGAGAAAAAAACTATAATTTTATAATATTTGTATTATTTTACTCTTAAAATTATACAAGTCATATTGATTAGCTGGTGAGAGGAAGAGAGAGAGAGAGAGAGAGAAATTGATACTCATTTTATTTCAAGTGTGCCTTCGAGCTATTGTGTATATATTTATTAACTGATTATGGTTTCTATATAGTAACTTCAATTAAAAACAGAAACTAATTTTAAAATATTATTAATTATTTGATGAAACTCTAAAAATTCTCTGTTCAACTTCTATGTTTTTGTTTTGTTTCTAGAAAAAGAATGACAATTAATTACTAATAATGAAATTAAAAGAATATTTAAATTCTTTAGTATCAAAACGTAAAACTCGTTCGTCACAACAAAAACAACAACAAGCGTCAATAAAATGTTCAAAATCAACACATGAAAATGTCGATTGTCAATATGATGTTTATAATGATCAACAACAACATCACCCTCATCATTATCTACAACCACTTCATTATTATCATGGCATTGATGATCCGTCCAATACAAATAATAGTCGACATTGTGGTAATGATACTGGACGTACAAAATTATTGCTCGCACGTCATGCACAATTAGTTAATACAATTATCGGTCAACGAAATGAATCGTCATTCTGTAATCATCATTCATATCTTCCAGGTACACCGCGTATTTCAGCTCTACCACCACCATTACCACCCAAAAATGATTTTTACAATAGTAATTCATCGGTAGCTGTTAGCAATAGAAATTATTATGGAACATTAGCAACATGTAGTCCACGTCGAGAATGTTGTGCACAATATTCAACAACAAATTCTAAATCATCAAACAATGACAATAATACAAATAGTTGGTCAACATCATCAAAACAACGAACAAGAATTAAAACGAATCCATGGATTCATAGTCCAAAATGGTGTCGACCAACACCGTCAACATGTTTATGTCCAACGGCTGTTGACTATTGTCTTTATGATCCTTCGGTAGGAAATAGTTTACCACATTCAGAATCGTATCCCAAAACAGTTCTTGAACAATTACATCAAACAAAAAAACAACAACAACAAGAAAATTCGCCAATTGTCATAGTAAATCCTAAAGTAGCAACTGTTCTACATCAAAGTGATAGTGGACAAGGATTTTCGCTAAGTTCAATTGGCGAAATTAATTCCTCGTCTTCATCATCGTCACCAAGTTCGAGTATCGTGGATAATTCAATATCATCGTTAATATCATCATCGAGTGATGAAAAAAAAATGATTACACCAAATATTCGTTTACAACGTAAATCGAATTTGAATCAGTTAGAATCACCAGCAATTATTGTTAAAAATCAACCAAATACAAATGATATAAGAAGTAAGACGGTCGTAACACCACCACTATCAAGTCGAATAGTCAATGAGCGAAAAAAAATATTGTCAAAGGAGAAAGGTATGAGAAAATTGAATATACTGTCTTTGAGATTAATAAACAGAGAATTTAATTGTTATAAATATAATGTCATTGACTCTTTTTTTAGGATATGTTCGCTCTCCTTCTGATCAAACTCCTCCTTCACGTCAACAACATCGAGGATCAAGTATGTTTCACATGACGTCGACTAATGATCCTGCAATTCGTTCACGTTCATCTTCCAGTCATTCAGTTGATGATCATTTTTCATTACAATTTGAAGAAATCGTTGAACAATGTTCATCATCAAATAATAATAATAAACGTTTATTACAGCAGAGAAATGTCGGTCAAACACCGTCCATACCCGGTCCATTTATTTTACCATTAAGTCTCGATAATGATTCACTTCAACCTCCTTTAGCTACAACACTAACAAAATCGACTAATTCTCGTGCCATATTAAAACATATTCAAGATATTGAAAATGAAATACGTTTAATGAAAAATTTAGATAAACCAGAAGAAGAAGAACAAGAAGAAGAAGAAGAAGAATCACCTTATTCTGTTTTAGACATAGATACTAATGATGATCGACGAAATACTATCTATGAACAAGTTGATCTTTGGGTAGAAAAATGCTTAAAAACACAAGAAACGGATATTAATCTTCTTCACAATGAATCTACACGATTATCAGATACGATTAAAGATTATATGGTATTTGTATGTTCCGATAACGAAGATGAAAAAAAAAATTTAACATTACCAACTGAATCAAATTCTAAATTAATGACTGCATTCTATGTAAGTTCAACACCAAAAGAGACGATATTATCTGTCGATGCTGAACAATTTGAAAATGATAATGAATATCCCTCGATAAAAAAAGATTTACGGAAATTACCAAAACGAATTACTTCAATGATTGCTCATGATCCACCGTTACCAGTTCGTACACCTAAACAACCATCGACACCGAAACAACATCAACTAAGCAATTCAAGGATAATTGATACCAGGCACAAAAAATCCAATCATGAGTGTCCATTCTGAGCGTCCACATTGTCTTTTTGTACGATCGCTTAAATAGAATCAGATCTTTGAGTACATATCGATTTGTCTAATCTCTTCTTTGTAGGCGATGATGAGTAAAATTATTAGGAACAGTCAAGTCTCTTTAATGAGAAGTGATTGCCAAATTTATGTATATGATAGTTTGAGACAGTTATGACTAAGTATTCTTCTTCAAGAAATTGCTTTACACTCATCATTCATGCGTTGCTTAAGCAAATAAGGCTTTTGTTTATTGGAGAAAGAGAAGTTGGTAATGAAATCGTCGATTTTAATATCGACAATACTATCGTGTTGAGTTGATCATCTATCTCCATATGTTATAGGAAACTGAACTTTGCTGCACCATATACTACAACTTTTTTTTATAAACACTACTCGCAATTTTTATGTTCAGATTTTTTAGTATTTTTGTGTTTCATTACAGTACAATAAACTCTTTCGATCAGTATCTGTTGTATGTTTTTTCTTTGTTTTTTTTTGTCTGTGCTCTTCCTACCGATTATGAGATTAAATCTAACACTTTTTTGTGTTTATTTTGTTCTATTAGTAAAATTAGTACGATCATGATGTATAAGGAAAAGCAAAAGTTTGGTTTTGATTTATTATGTCGAGCATTAATGAATCAATATGAGCCGGTAGCATATATTAAACTCATACCTGTACCAGCACCGAGTCATTTATTGTCGATCTTGTAAAAGAAAAGGCTAAACGACTTAAGTAGGGCGCTTATAATTCATAAGAAACTTCAGGATTATATAGAGCTTAAAAAGAAACTGATACCAATTACGCTTCGCTAAGGACAGAATAGATTGAAATATCAGATTATCTTGATTAGGATCTCGTTTGAAACAGCATGTGTTTTCTAGTGAACTGAGTTCTCTAACTAAATAATTTAGCTGAAAAGTATAGATAGAGATATCCAGGCGATAAATTGAAAGCATTGACTATGCTGAAACATACACTGCCATTCTTATATAAAGAACGTCGTCGATATCATTCCGTTCCAACGATGTCCTCAGATCGGATAGTATTTCAAGAAATTTATCTCCATCTCTACAACTTATTCTTTGAGTATGTCGGACTTTTCCATCAATATTGGTGTTACTTTACTTGCCCATTTGTCGCCATTCTACAAGAAATCTGTAGATTACAAGAAGGATATCGATCTTGAGCATTTGCTTAGTTATATTCTGCGAGATGGTTGAACAGGAAGGATTATACGACACAGATATCGGTTTCTTTCTCGGAGCAAATGCCAAAACCGGATAGAACAAGCGGAAAGCTATACATATTTTTTCTGAATTAATTCGCCCATTAAAGCAGACGTTTCTGTCAACAACTATGAGAAGATAGTGCTGGATATAAATGATGTTGTAGGTCCAGTTAAGAAATATACTATGAATATAATATGAATGTATTCTGACAGAATAGACATTATATCAAAAAACATACAAAAAAAAATACTATTGATAACATAGTCGATTGCACAACTTCAATTGTTCTACAGAATATAGGCACAGATCAGTGGATTTAGTTTTGTAGTTTACCGCAAAGCTTCGTATGTTCGAATCCCTAGTCGTAGAAAATTGCTTTTGTGTTTAGTAGATAATTAGTTTAGAATACTGTAATGAAATATTTTTTGCTTGTATTCTGAAAGATTAAAGCTTATATCATATCAAATATACTTAGGTATGTACTAGTTAGTTTATTTCTAGTTAACTGTAACTGTCATAACTGTGACTGTGTAAACTGTAACTGCTTATAACTGTAGGCAAACATTCTAGAGTGACTTAATCTTCTACGATTTACATACATTTTAAGAACAGAGACATCCTTAAAATGTATACAAATCGTACAAGACTAATCAGTCTAGAATATTTACCTACAGTTATGAGCAGTTACAGTTTTCACAGTTGCACAGTTAACTGTAACTGATGCATGCCTGAATATATTATATCAAGAAGAATAAGGTATAATGCCTACACCGTCTGAACAATTGTCGAAAGTAAAATGATTGCTCTTTTAAGAAAAATCGTTCTCTTTTTCGCCTAAGCATAGTCGTTATAGACAGAAAGTAACTAACACTATATTTTCTCTTTATATCATTTACTTTTCTTTTAATTAGTGTTAATCAATGCTAATTAATTGCCTAGATACGTTGAAAAGTTGAAAATAAACATTTGTATATTTCATTTTATGCACGAGTATATTCAACATGAAAGCGACTAACGGTACATTGTACTCAATCTACAGAGAACATCAGTGGTAATGCTAAGCTTTGAATATCATAGATCGGTATTCGAATTTGATTAATAGGTCTTTTTGATGTTCCAGATACGTATAAAAAATATTATTCGACGAGTACCATTGCATGTCGTATGTAACAAATGCCATTGATAATCCATGTTGAGCACTTTTATTTAATATCGTCGTTAAACCGTGGTTCCTCAAAAATAACGGTATAATCTGAAACTTCTCGATATATCGGTGGTAACCGCGCGGTATTCTTCATACATTAGTGCGAAAAATACTGCGCGGTACACCGTTTCAAAGTTATTGACCTTTTCGTTTTGATGGTTATAAATAATTATAATTTTAGACTGTAAATTATAAAAATTCCTTGTTATAAAATATTTTATATGAAAAATTGTGTTTCACGATTTTCCATGTAATCCTAACAGGATGCACTCAATGCCGGGTACTCTACCTTTACATCAATTTACAAAATGAAAAAGTTACAGAGGAGCTTGTTCTCTCTCACATGAACTGAAAACTAGAACAAAAACGCATGCTTCCAGCGACTTCAGACTATTTTGCACATTTTTTCCCCTGATCTTTGACAGTCTAATTAAAGTGGTGCATTTAAGGATTGTGTAATAAAAAAGTTTTAAACTTTTCAGTACGAATAATAGGATTAAAGTCACCCTTTTGAACATATTTGTAAAGTAACCACTTTATTCCTTTGAACGATTTCGTTCTATGCTATACTCGCATCTGTCCGATGATCTTTTTGATTACTGTTGAACTAATCGAAATCTCCAGTTCGTTCGTTAGAACATGAGATATTTTTTCGCTTTGTAAAAGGGAAAGGACAGGATGGAAAATCCTGTCGGAATCGATTCATCCTCAAAATGTTTTAATTTCGATGTAGACCGATAGAGAATGATGTGCTATTCATGATTTTAGCAAAACTTTTGTTTCTTGGTCCAAAATCGTCTGTGTGGAAACCATAGGCGAGTTTTCAGTTTTTTTTGCTTGAGGGAGGACCTAATCTGAGTTTTTGTTGAAGAAACGAAAGTTTTGCTAAAATGATGCATAGCACATCATTCGACTCAGTTTTCAGCACTGATTCTGAATATCACCTTTACTTTGCTTTGAAAACGATTCTTGATGGTAAGCATTTGCATTTATTTCGAAAATTATACTGATTGTGAGTTATGTCGAACTTATTGTCACGATTTCACCATGATTCCAGACTTTAAACTCAATTATTTATACATATTCTTGTAGCTCTCTTCATGGGCTACTTATTGCGCTAGGAATGACTTGTGAGTAAAGCTTGAATGATAGAGAAAAAAGCGAAATATCGTGACAGAAAGCCCTTAAAAGTTAGATCCGAAGTGGGTTTTTGATAAAAAGTAACGATTATTCATATTCTATGGATTGGTATTTCTGGAAAAAAGGTTTATTCCCATTTGCTATCGAAAATAAATTATTAATGGTATTCAGCGTCAAAAACGTTGGTAATTTATTATAATTTCTTTTTTGCAACAAAATGCTTTTCGAAGCTCCAAAAGCTACATAGAATTGAATTCTTTATTGATCTGCATCGAAATTAAAACATTTTGAGGAGGGGCCGATTCTTACAGCATTTTCCACTTCAAAAAGAAATATCTGAACCGGATAGTAGGATATATTTTTAGTAGCTCACTTGTCTGGATCGCGTAAGAGGCCTGTAAGGTCACTTTTTTGTGGAGAAGCGAGAAAACTGTATGCAGTAGAGTGTCCGTGTACCTCGTCCTATACCGGTTAGTGATGATTCACCAGAAAAATGTTTTATACACATTAAGTGTTTTGCGCCTTTTTACTGCTACTCTCACCTTTCAAAATTCCTTTGAGTGTATAATACAATTAATAGTCAGCATACACAGTTGCCTGTTTGAAATCTTTTCTGCTTCAGTGCTAAGGTGTTTGACTAATTCTTTTTAAAGTTTCACATATTGTTCTGATGACTCCCGTTATCATTTATTCACAGCACGCTCTGCTTACAGCAGATTAAGAACATAGTTTGAAATTGTTTTAATTCTCGATAAATAGGTATTCAAAAGAAAATAAACAAAAACAAATGATGATTAAAGCTTGTAAGCTGCTAGGCTTGGCCTTTTAAATCTGTGGACTAGGCTTTGCTCTCTCCCATCCTATACGTATTTTTGTCACATAATTGTTTACACAAGGGAGACTAATGGCAAATTTCAGAATTAGAGTAATGACTGGTAGAGCTACACTTACAAAACCGATCGAATACAGCATTTTCGGAAAACCTAGCTTGATCCAGTTAGGTGTTGCCATAATGAAAACATGAATGACAGCTAGTAACAAGGTGAGATATCCCAAAGATGATTGCAAGAATCTCCATTCGCGCCAGTTGAGAGTATTGCCAACGGACGGAATAGAACCCACGGCAAGAACTGACATGCAGAAAATTGCCAAAATACCGAAGAGTGATGCTGCCTCGCCTTTCCAAATCATCAATGGTTTCAGAGGAAAATACTGATCGTCTGTAAAGTTTCGTCGGACAATAATGTTGGTTGGTTGATACCATGACATATAGTACGCCGGTGACATGACCAAGATTGACATGAGTGAATGAATGAGTGCAATGGAAAATGTGAGAAGACCAAGTTGTTTACGAGAAGATAACCAACCGGTGAACCATTCAGGAAATCGACGATACTTCGTGCCATAAAATATTTGGATAAACGCTGCGATACTTCCAGGGAGATAGGTCAGGGAGAGAAGAGTGATGGCAGATGTACACAATACTTTATTCGTCACGTGTATAAATATTTGATGCCAATTATAAACTTTCTTATACATAAAATAAAAGTAAACGACATAAACCAGCCATATTGTAAGCACGATCAACATCAGAACGAATGGCAACCTCCATAGAGGAAATAATGTGAGCACATACATCTCCATTTTGCGTGAGGAAGCCAACGCCCCTAAATTCACTGGTTCAAAGCCCATATCTCGTGCCACAGAACAGACGGCATCTTTGGCCGAGGCATGATCACCAGCTACAAATACGCGTCTTGGACCACCAGTTGCATCATTTTCTATGACAAAAGCCGGTAGAACATTGAATGCTTTAACGACACGCCCATTTGGCACAAGTGAACTGAGATACTCGGCATTAGATAAGTTTAAGTTTTTTACTCTTGTTTGATTTGAAATGTCGACGAGAATTTTACCATCTAAATTGGCTACCAAAATTGATGAATAAAATTCAACGTGTAATGCAACAAAGATTATTTCGTTTCGTTCAATGCATGAGCTAATAGCTGTTATTTCAACATCATTCGTATACATATCATTTAATAATAATTGCTGACGATCTTCTGGACGCCTCGAACCAAGCACCACTTTATAGCCGGAGAAAATGAGACGTTTTGCCAAGGCTCGTGCCATATTTCCGGTACCAATAATTCCAACAGACCTTGTCACTAGTTCCATGTCTTAGTACTAAGCGACTAATATTCTAATTTGGTCCGGTATATATATACTGTATATATTGTTTATGGCAATAAATCCCTCACTAGTCTATAAGTGTGATGTGTTTTTTTCTCGGGAGAAGAAATTAGATAGACGGAATGCCGTATTACTCTGTTTGTTTGTTGATTCTAATTCCTTCCACTTCTTCTGTTTCTTCTTCTTCTCTTTTTCGATACAGAAAAAAGAAATAGGTTGACTCATTATAGTATGACAAGACGTCTGCTTTTTCTGTCTATTCCAGTTCGAATGACATGGGATAATTATGACTATGTCTTCAAAATTTCGTCATATTTCTGGTATAGTTTGCGCAATTCTGACCGGAAAAAAACGGTACTTAACAGTTAGGCAGATCTGTGTGTATGGTGTAAAATATTTTCAGAAACTCATTAGTGTTAATGAATGCTAATTAATTTTCTGTGAGTATCTTTCAATTCAGTCAACGTGTACTGTTGGGATAATTATGGTCAGTACAGCAAAAACGATTGAGTTAAACTTAAACAACTTAGTTTCAGTGGGGAAATTTTAGTAAAATAATTAAAAACTATATTATCTTGTAAAACTTAACAGCTTCCAGACACAGTAAGAGAACTAGAAAGGGAAGGATTAGGTAAGTCTGAATACTATTAATACTAGTAATATAGCACAAAAGCTGAATGTAAATTTGTGTATTCTGATAAAACTCAGCAAAGAGAAACTCGGAAATGCAAGAAAAGCGTCGACAGTTATAACCAAAATCAAAGTCGATATGACATCAGCAGCAAGTCGGACTGCTGATTTTGGACAAAAGCTGTCAAATTATGGAATATCACTAATGCAATATCAAAATTCATTTTCGACAATATATGCTGATGCTTCAATGCTGCTGATACGGTGGATACTGATGATTCATCTCATCCAATTCAATGAATTTAACAGCATCATCTCCGGTTAGCCATGAACCTCATTCTAGTACATTTGCAGATGTAGTGGGCGACATAATAACAAAAGCAGCATACATACACTGCTTCCTTCTCTTGCTCAACGTCGATAGATTTCTCAGTGTTCAATATATAATCTTCATAAGTGTTTAATCCCTTAAATTATATTTTCTGATCTATATTTATAAAGATACGCTCTTTCTAACCAACGCTTTGCCTTATCAACAGCTTTTTGTCATTTGTTCGCATTTTAATCACTCTCTCAATTTTGTCAATTGTTTGTCTTTTACACATTTGGTTACTTTGGTCAATAATTTCAAATTCTGCACCTAAATCAAACACCTCCGGCTGAAACAGGAACTACAATTACATTGCCCATTTTTAAATCAATTACAATTTCAAAACAACACTGATACTTTATTATTCTCAGAAGGATTATATTCGTTAAAACCACTAAGTATTTTTGCTACCTGTTTATTAGCCGTGGTTGAAAAAGACCCGTGTGCTGATATATGTCCATCTCTAAGAAAAGATTCATATTCAAAATTGTCCACGATAAACTGTTATTATATTCTTCTCCGACAATGATTTCTTTAGTTCTTTACATTCACATTGAAGAGTCATGGATAAATCAATAATATAAAAACGAAATTTATGTAATACATCAATAGTATTTTTTCGAAATGCTTTATTAAGTCTTATAAAGAGAACAGAATCTGCTGTATACCATTGAACAGTATTACAAGACTGATATGTTCGTTGAAATTCATCTGGTGCGATTCATCACCACGATAATGAGATTCATAATGGTTAATTAAATCTTGCATGGATTCGTTTTTGTCTTTATAAGTCATCTTTATGAAAACTGTAATTTTACAAATTCATCAGCCGGATGAACGTTCTCACGAGAAATTTGTTTCTTTTTTGTTTTTGCTTTCCGTAGTCTGGTGATAAAAAATTTTGTATTCTCACGAGGGAACCCCACGAAGTGATTAAACGCTTTTTGCTCGGAATCTAGTGGGTTATAGGTTATCGACCATGCTGATTACGAATACGACCATGTGGCTTCCGCATAGC